AGGTGAAAGATACTTACCTCAATGCATAGCACCTACCATGAACTGGGGGAGCTAGTGTGATTGTTTGGGGGTGTTTTTCTGCTGAGGAAACAGGAAATATTTTCAAAATAGATGGAATAATGGACCAGCTCAAGTACCATCAGATACTGATCCATCATGATATACTCAGTGGTTTGCATATAATTGGTAAAGGATTTTACTACCAAGAAAATAATAACCACTCATCCAACCTATGCAGAAATTACTTAACTTAAAAAGAAGCTGCTGGAGTCATTCAACTGATGCAAATCTGACTTAGCTAAGAAATAAAAGAACCTAAGCAAAATCATCAATTTATTATATAAAAAAAACTTCCAAAATATAATTATACTTAATTATACATATTTGCATACAGAAGTTCTGGTGGGTCTACTTTTGAGTAGATTAGCAGGTCATTCAGGGCCACTGCTGATTGACACCCTTTTAACAATAGGTAGTGAACAATCTTTGTTATTTCTGTTAATCTGTGCTTAGCCTGCTCTACCTTCTTGATCTCATTGGCAGCCCTGGATCCTCCTGTTCCTGATGTTGATAGTGTAAGCTCAACTGGTGTTTCAACATTGTGCCTAGGCTTGACAGTGGTTTATCCAGTGCATTACTGCCTGTGAGTCAGTCTTCTAGGATGTCATTTGGGGATTCACAGATAATTCCTGTGTCTCAACAATGATGTTGAAGGCATAAATATGGTGACTTCAGTTGCTGGACATTGTTTAGTAAGCACCACACCACTGATTTAACCATCTTTACCAAGTGGGAAATTTTGGACTGACTCATTGGTGGTTTTGGGGTCATCATCATGCCCAGCAGATGACAAATTGCTTCTTTAGCTTTTTTGTCCTGGTGTGAGCAAAGATTTTGCCCTAATGGTGTCTTTAATCCTGTATTCCCCTTGATTACTATGGTGTTATATTGTTAACTACTGATTGCTCAACTGAATGTATTGGCAACTGCTTGAGCCATTGTATTGGCTAGCAGATATATTTAACACATTAGCTACCATGTACCCCATGATGGGTCACACTGGTGGGACAGATATTAAAATGGCTTCAATGAGCTAATTAAACATAGTATAGTTACTCATATAAATATTAGACACCTGGGTTGAGTTAATAATGAAATGTGTGGTTGGAACTGGGGTAGGAATTATTAATACTATTGGTGGCAGCAAACGTGTTAAGCCCTCTTAGTAAAATAATGGATGTAGCAATTACCATGGTCAGTCTTGTGAAAGCGTCTGGTAATACTCATAGCTATTCTTTGGAACATAGAACTTGATGATAGAGTTTTCCCTGGTGCAGTCAATTCTTCATCTGAACCACATATGAAGTACAATATTTACAAGATCACTCTTCATCTCTATGGGAATGTGGCCAGTAAACCACCTCTGCTGGTTGGCTGTAGTGCAAGACACTCTTTAATGTCCCCATGAATGTTTTGTGTAACATTTGGATAATGTTGGCTCTCAGAACTCCGAGCATAATTAGCTGTATCACATATCAGGCAATGTAGAAACAATATAGAACTCCTTCCTGTACCTTGAATTGGTCAAACAATAGCCAGAGGTTACAATCTTACACACTATATTCACTGATTTGTGATGGTTATGCTTCTCCTTGCTGCACAGCAAACAGCACCCAAGCTAAGTCTAGTCCTTGAACTGCTATTCTTGCAGCCTTTATTTTGTTGTATTTACTCATCAGTTGAATATTCACAACTTTTGTGGCTTAGACTTTAGGTTTCATAGCAACACAGTATCTAGCTTCAAAACATTCTACTACGGATGGACAAGTTCTCACCTGCTGCTAAGAAAGTCATCTGAATTTCTGTGATGCCAGTTCAGTCGGTGTTGCACAGTAAAACTGTACTACTGCAATCTTGTGATCCAGCTTGCTATCATACCTATCAGTTTTCAAAGTTCATCACAACTACAACGCATGATATACTCAAGTGGTAAAATATCAGCCATACAAGTAGTGACAAAAGTGCTGCAACTGCAAGTACTTTTTTCTTCATCATACAGAAAGTGTTCTGCATGAGGCTATTACATACTCCACATCATCCTGTACTTGTGACAGTACTGCTTTAAATCTGTTGTCACTGACATTCACATGAAACATCTCTCCTTGAATAAGCTAACATCAGAGCATCAACAGACACATTTTAATGACAGAAATGGCTTTACAGTCTTCAATCTATTGAAAGTGGAATTCTACTTCAGTTAATGGCAGAAGTATTACTATTGTTGAAAAATTGGCCACAAAGCATCATATTAAAGCCGAGAAAGGTATGAACTTATTTCTGTAGGTTTGATTTAGTCTACCATTACTCATAGATTAACAGGATCTGTTGCCACTCCATGCATACTTATTGTATGTATGAAAATAACTCTACATGTATCCATTGGAAAAACATTTCTCTGGCATCAGTTTCAGAACTATTTGTTACGACAGTTGAAATACCTTGCCTAGATATCAACTTCAGTCTTAAATATGTATCCAGACAAACACCAGAATATCACTGACATCAATTAGACACCATTCCCACTGACGACTCCATAATGCAAGTTCCTTAAGCCACTCAAAAGTAGCTGAGGTATTACAGAGGTGAAATGGCATGAATGCAACTCATACAAACCTTCTTGAGTGCTCAAAGGAAGCTTGGTTCTGCTTTCATCACATGATTCAACTTGCCAGTAGCAAGTAGTGAAATCTAGTGAACTAATCCAGTGCATTGAGACATTCATACATGCATGGCAACAGAAACACAATGATACATATCACCATGACTATCCACCTGAGGTCTACATAGAAATACAATGTATCTATTTCCTTTTTTAATTATTACTATGCTATACAAATATACACTCTGAAGGTTGAATGATTCCATCCTTTAACATTCAAAGCACTGGCCATAGCCTTGGTGGTTGCTTTACGTGACACGTATCTCTCATATCTGTTTATTTTCCCAAGCTTTCTCTATCAATCTGCACTATCTTTAATAAGGTTTACTGCCAACTGCATATTTGTTTCAGTATGTAACAGCCAAAGTAACACTAGGTATGCTTCTTGTTTCAGATACTCCTCCCTCACGCACTCTACCAATGACTGTTCCAGCCAGTATCTCTACAGCTTGTTTGCTAAAGTAAAAAACAATAATCACTGTTTGAGCAAGTATTGCTTGGTTTTCAGAAATACATTTCAGTCATTTTTTCAACCAACTGTAATACAACCTGAAATTGTGTCCATCATAAATCACAGCATGTCCATTGCTCTTACACATACATTAATCAAAATGTTATGGTTTCAACACAGTATTGCACTTGCATAAGCTATACTAGCAGATAACTTCAGTAGGATATCTAAGCTTAAAAGTACTGATATTTAAGCCAAGATCTGCTACTACTGTTACTAATCTTTCACTTTTAATTTTCCCATCAACAGAGATATGGAGCCAAGTTTTTACATTCAAGCCAATCACCATTCATGAGGAAAGTTTGTGTTTACTGATCAAAGTGATGGTTTAATCCAATGTGTGTATTGCCCTTGTAATAGCCATTTATGGTGTTATATTCAACATTTAATCAAACAATTTTATTATCAATGTATGTCAATAAACTGGACATGAAACATAGAGTTCAAACTTTTATATTATTTAAGTTTTAACTTCTTAATTTCAAAAAAAAACATTTAAAAGATTCTCAATTTTCACTTATTGTGGCACTTGACTTGTCCGAGCTCCGACTTCACTTCAAAATAGGCTGCTGCAGTTTCCAACCAATTAGAAACACAAAATATACAAACTTACAAGCAAGAATCTAAGTTTTCTAACTACTTCATTTGCTGAGTTATCAATAAATTTGTCACACTCTCAAGAACAATTCCTCCTGTCTGACTTTCAAGATTGTGAATCAACTTTACATGGCTGATTGGCATGTTTATAATCTAAAGGAACAAACTTTCTTCTAGAAGAAGCTGACTACCTTTCTTTTGGTTTCAATGGGAAAGTTATTGATTTGATAGAAATGTTTTGTTGTATGATCATTGTACTATTGCTCCAAATGGCTAACAGAATTTTTTTTAACCTATTTATAGCTCACTTATAAAGCCAGGTTAATTTTAGTACTTTTAGGACATTCTGTTCTAGTGATTGATATATTTTTCATGTTCTAAAATGCATATTTAAAAGCTAAATTAATTATTTTTTGGACCCACAAATTTCTGAGACTCAATGAGGCTTAAGGAAAAATAGTTTCAAGTGCAAAAATCTGAGAGTACTACAAATACTTGTTTTTATGTATATCTTTTATTTATTGTTAGGTGTTAGTTAACAAAAGTAATTAAAATATAACCATTAAAAACATCAGCTTAGCCTACTAAAACTTAAGTAAAGTAAAAGTTACAGAAGTTTCAGGCAAATGTCATGTTCAACTGTATACCTCTAACGTTTCACATGATATTTGTGTCACAGTTTGGCAGAAATAGCTATTTGTTCCTGCTATGATTCACTGCTTTGTTGCCAAGAGAGTTACTGATCCAGTGAGTACAAGGTATTGCAATAAAACCATAAAAGTAAACAGACATTACAAGTTTAAATAAACTGGTTCTAATATTTACAGAAAAAAATCCAAGTTTCGTGAAGGTGCACATAGTAAATTCATATTTATAGTGTATACATAGTTTCTCAATCTGGGATTGGTCAGTTTTACTGACCTATTATGAAAGAGTTAATTATATGAACATGAATGATACCACAAGATCAAGAAGACACATACTACAAACCTTTAAAGACCACACTGACATTCATAACAAACCTCTTAAAACCACACTGACATAAATAGCAAACCTCTTAAGACCACATATAAATTCATTCAGAAGCTCCAATGACAATGTTAACTCAGATAGTTCATAAGCTCAATCCAAATGCTATTTTCCTTATTAAATAAAATATCAATCGCTACACAATTTTTGTTTCCAATTAACTTTATTAAATAAAGTTCTATTCATATACGTAATACAAAAACTTGGTTTACACAGATTTACATTTTCTTGTGGAGATAGATGATTGATTTATCTAATTACATTATAAAAATGTCAAACAGTTCATGTTCTTAAACTGATTTTTATAATATGGACAATAAAATTTTCAAGTGGTTGTCAGAGTGGAAATTCTTAGGTTCTTTTCAGTAAATTTCACATCCCAAGCTAACTGATTTTCTTTTCCTCTTTTCACTGTATTTGTATTGAGTAAAAAAAATGTGGTGTTTCCCACAGATCACTTAGAAGATCTTTGTGCAAATTATAATATAACCCAAGCATATTCACAGTAACTCAAGGACATGATCCAGGTCTATACATTATAGATAAAAAATCTTACCCAAAATATTTACATAACAAAGGATTTTATTCAAACATAATATACTAATTCGAGGATATTGTTACCCAAGTAGGTCAATATGCTATCATCCAAATGTATATATGACACATGAAGTTCAAATATGCGATGAAAATGGACACATAGTAACTCAACAATTTCACACAAATTTACACATCATAATGCAAAATTACAACAGTTTGACATTTTGTTATTGTTAGAAATGTACATATAGCACATAACCCAATATCTCTATATGAATATACATAGTGTAAGGCAGGGTTACAATAGCTCAATTACTATGTAATAAATTTACCAAGCGTAACCCAACATCACTATACAAATGTACATGTGCCATGCTACATTACAGCAAGTCAACATCATGTTAACAATTTACATAATGTAAACCTATGTTATTATACAATTGCACAAAGTGAAATTTAGGGTTTCAAAACTCAACTCTATATTCAAAATGTGCACACTGTAACTCAATGTACCCTGTACAACCCAAGTAGACTGTGTACCACAAAGTTACATATAAGGAGTGCCTCAAGATTACAATACAAATGTACACACTGTAAAATGTTACAATGCTGCTGGATGTAGAGTAATCCAAAGTAAATTCAATTACATAAACAAATGTCAGGGAATGACCTTTCTGCACTACCTTTTTAAAATCTTACTAAGAAATAAGGATATGTGAGGTAGGTCACATGGTACATACAGCATATAAAAGAAACAAAAAATGCATCATGAAATAATTTAATGAAATAATAATAATTTTAAATTACTTTCCATTACTTTTGTGTGACTTGTACAGATCAGTAAGTTGATAATAGTAATGCTTATACTCTTGACAGGAAAACTAAACAGGAGTTTATAGCTCATGTGATTAATAGAGACCAGATAGTTGATAAAAGAAATACTGGTTAAGTTCTTGGTAGGATAGCTATATAAAGAATGTCACATAAATAGCAAAAGATCAAATAACTGATAAGAGGAATGTTTAAACTACTGATTAGCTAAATCATTTGATTAGTATAGATCAAGTAACTGATAACAGGAATGATGTTTAAACTTCTAATAGATTAAGTCATGTGATTAGTACAGATCAAGTATGTTGAAGTAACTGATAACAGGAATGATGTTTAAACTTCTAATAGATTAAGTCATGTGATTAGTACAGATCAAGTATGTTGAAGTAACTGATAACAGGAATGACGTAATGTGATAATTATAGATCAAGCAAATGACAATAGAAATACTTTTTAAACTCTTAACAGAAGTTATGTCATTAATATCATTCACGTAGTTGTTACTAAAAATACTTAAATTCTGAACAGTATAACTACACCGGAGTTAAGTACATTTAAACATTTATAACTTATAATATACTTTACATGCGACTTCCTTGAAATTGATAACTTCACATATGTGAACTAAACATAAGAAAATTATGTTTAATGTCTGATAGCATAGTCTTCTTTCATCAAATAATCATAAAAAAATGCTAATCAATGGTTCACTTTCCTTCTGGTAAATAAGTATGAATAATGAATTTGAAAAATATAGTTTAAGTAAAAAAAAAAGGTTGTATGTATTTCTAATGACAAGAGTTTAAGAAACTAAAGCAGGTTGTTTAAAAAACTTGTAATTGATTAATGTATGACATTACAAAAAAAACACAAGTTTTGAATTTCCTGCTCCACCCCCATTTTATCAGGAACAATATCATTTATTATCAAATTGTGAAGACACCCAAGCCAGTCCCCATTTCAGGTTTGTCAGCATGAACTTCAGAGCTTTTGTCCACTGTTCTTCTGAGTTAAATTGGATCCTATACAAGATAAAATCATTTTCTTGTTAATAAAGTAATTTTCTTTAGACTTACTAGTTTTAAAATCATAACCATAACAGAGTAGGATGTGGTTGTATTACCTAGTATAAATTCTTTAGACAGTAAGTTGTATGAGAGGTCTTACATTCTACTAATAACCCTACTAATTTTTGTCTTTTACAGAGTAACATATAATTATTTGTGTCTGTTTCTTTTATAGAATAAGATGTACCAATGGTTGTGTCCTAATTAGTACTTTGTAGAATAAGATGTACCAGTGGTTGTGTCTTCTCCTAGTTACCTTAAAGAATAAGATAGAGCAATGGCTGTATGTTCTACTACTCACTTTATAGAATAAGCAATACCAGTGGTTGTATCTTCTATTTTTCCTTTCTCCATTCTGTTGAACAAAAAACATTACGGATAGTAACCAATGCTAAGAAAACAACAAACTTGAAATAATAACGCATAAAGTGAGTAAAATTACATAAACTAGATTTTGGTGGGAAAAATATATTAATAGAATTTTTGTTACATATACATTATTTTTTAAAATGCAAACATTACTTAAGATATTGAATGCTAATTAGTAATATTTATCTGCAGTTTCATATCATACATCTGAAAAAGAATGCATTTCATAATGAGCCTGGTTACCTGTAAGGTAAACAAAAGCCTGTGTCTCCCTTTTCTACTTCTTCTTTGAACTGAAAGATCAAGACATTACATAAGGTTGTGCTTGCTTAGCAAGTAGACATATCTCATGATGACAGTCCTTTAAAGTATTTTATGGAAAACAGTAATCTTGTACAAAATAAAATGGCACTATCCTGCTAATAAACAGAAGAAACTGAAATTACACAAGGAGTGGAATTGGAATCTTACAAATGGTCAACACACACTGATGTCTATTTATTGTTATAGTTTATGTAATGTAATAATATATCCTGACAACAATTTCTATTATTTACTGCCAAAACTATAACAATGTAATCATGTCATTTACTAGGGTTTAGTGCTAGAAGCTATAACAAATCCAATGCAATAACTCTTAGTCTTAAATATTTAAAATTTTGCCAATTTGTGTATTAAACAATCAAGACCTTCACTTTATAATTTGATACTCTATCTTCAAATGGTACAGACTGTCTGATGACCCTTTTTATGTATAGTGTGAAAGATCCTTAGTCATAGCAAATGAGAATTCAAACTTTATTTACCTTTATAAAACAAGTTACATACAGAATTTGTTATGACTAGAAGAAAACAAAATATCTGCTGTTGTGGTTTTTTAGAAGCTTTATAATAATAGTATTACCTGCTGTAAGCAGTCCAGGAAAGCTACCATAGCTTGGTCAAATCTGAATTGAAACAAAACACATTTTATACAAATATATACAATATACTTTTATTATATTTTATACACATTTTGAAATTTTAAATCTGTACCAATACTAAGTTCTTAACCTAGAAGATGATAATGTATTACTTCAGCTCTGACCACAATGCATTCCCATTTCTACTTCAAAAATCCTGATTTCATAAGTAACTTACTCAATGTAATATTTTGTTCTTAATTTCATCAAAGATCTTTATGTAAACAAACTGATCAAGGTTTGTACAGCAAGCACACTGACAATAAAATGAGTTATAAAAAATGTTCCTATTTATCAACAATGTTATTTCAACAATATGCTATAGGAGGTTCAAACATTTAATTAATGTAGTTTACTCATACACAAAGTATTTTCATTAGGCAAGTACATATGACATCCATGATTAACAGATATAATTTTACATCTAACTTACACAATATCTATAATTTACATGTGATGTTACTTTTGTCTTACACAATATTACTATTGGCAGTTTATTTCTATCTTAAATAATATCCATGAGTGATTGAGGAAAATATACTTTGCCTTACATAGAAAATCTGATTTCCTTGTAAAACTATTCAGCCACCATTATTTAGGCTTAAAAACCATACAATAAAAATTAGCCTTATACAGAGGGTTGAGTATATTGAAAAATTTTTGGAGCCTCCCTCACCACATCATTACAATCCATATTACCACAAACATTCATGCTCTACCTGATGATTACGCATTTTGCAAATAGCCCTGCAGTGTAGTTTCCATTATAAAAGGCTGCCATGTTCAAAGTAAACAACTCCTCCCTGCTTGCTTACCTTAATCCATTTAGGGTATGAAGATGACTGTTTCCCAATGTCTCTTTAAATAGTCCAATAACACAGAAATCCATAAGAGCAACATCTGACGACTTGACTGGTACGTCTTCATATGGAATAACATGAATACCCGTTTCATCCTCCAGCTCCTTGAGGTATGTGATAGTTGAATTGCAGGTATAAAAGAAGTCTTCATCTTGGTAAACCCATACCCTATTGGCCTCATTTCCAAACAGAGATCCTTCTCTCTTATGTTGCATATCGTTGTCTTTGACAAGCGGTCAGTTTTTGTCACTGACCTTTGTGTTCATGGATTCTCACTTGTTACAAAACATTGCACTTTGCTAACCATGGCTTAGGTTAGACTTGTTGCAGGTATCTTTCCAGATGGCACTGGTGCCCTAAATTGATCCATACTATTTTGTTTTCCAATGTTATTAATTATAAGGGATATCCTATTTTGAAAATCCTAAATCCCTGATCTAAACACATCTTTATGGTCTAAATGTACGAATATTTTGTGTATAAAAGGGCTTTTAAATACCCTTCCAAAAACAATAAATTTTTGGTGGCATCACACTACCTATAAAAAGTAAACATTTAAATGTAGTTCTGATACATGTGACTTTATATGAGGTGTGGTATTCATGTGACTTGTTGATTTAAATATTCAAAATTGTTTTAAGATAATATACTAAACCCTAAATATTCTCTAAAAAAAGGTTTTTGAAAAAAGAATTTCACCTATCAAACATTTGTAATTAGAGAAAAACAGCTTTACCCAATGAAAATAATGATTAATATTTAAAATTGGGTGAATTTTAGCTTTCATAGCAAAATACTACATTAAAACTAATTTACAGCACTTACTTAGTATCCCAGAAAAATTTAAAACCACCAGATCCGTATCTGAAACACAAAATTTAAGCATAAACATGAGGATTTAACGATGCCAGTATAATGACTCAATAAATAGTAATTAATGAAAAATAAATTTCTAATCATTTTTCCAAGCCAAATATATTGCATTTTACAAAAGTTTAGACAACTTGTATATAACATAGAAACCTCTCAATACTACATAAGCCATTAACACCACCTTCAACTTTGAACAATAAAACAAACATTCACTACTAAGGTGACAGTAGACACAATTTAAACTACTATTAACACATGCTATATTAATTCAGAAATTCCATTTAAATACAAAACCATAACACTCTAAGTGAACACAGAAAATGATTTACATCTCTAGGATAGGTTTACACCACTCATTGTCACAGGAACCTTAACAACAAGTAACTAAACTTACAGAAGATAATTTTACTCTCTTTCAATAATACAGAAAACTCAACAACTTGTAAGTTAAGTTCACATCCAAGCCACTAACTGACAAAAGAATGTGTGTCTACATTTATCTGGCAAACCACTGTACCGACTGTCACTAAACCTGATACATAACCTTAGAACCCCCCAGGAAGTGACAATGAGGCTTGGGTGGGTGTTGCATTCAGATCTGAAATCATAACAATTAATAAGTGAAAACTTAACAGCCAGAATTTTGGTCATTGGCCTTTTTTTTTTCTACATACATTATATATGGATGTATTTTGGTCAAGTATATCAGAGGCTTAAGTAATGGATGTAAGGTATGTAAAAGAAAATATGATCAATATCAAAATCCCAACACAATTAATGTGCAAACGCATGGTACCAGTTCCCTAGGTGTTACAACAACTAGGAAGGTTAACATAACTGGCATTTTGAACTTTGGAGATACAGGTACGTTTGCACTTATATGGTGTGAAAAACATTGATCTTATCTAGAAGAAATTGAAGTATTTTTTCTAATTATGGTGTGGCTGATAAATTGTTTTGTTTTGAATTTTGACAAAAGCTATTCAGGGGCTATCTGCATTAGCCATCCCTAATTTTGAAGTGATATAACATCACCCACCTCTAACTCTTCGGCTACTCTTTTAAGCCTATTAGCTTTCCATATTTTGTTGTCTTTTGGCATTTAAACTGTTCCTATTTAGGAGGTTTAATGTATATTTCATTTACTTATTTTATCAGTAGAGTTTCTGTTATAAGCCCCCAGTAGCTTAAAAAGCTCCCCAGACGTTTTGGTTCTTATATTTTTTCTTATTACCTTTGCTTCGTTACATTCAGTATAATCTAATATATACCTTTATTTCTTTAAGTGACACTTTTTGGTTATGGATATTGCTGTGAAAAAGTAATGATCATTTTAGAAGAGGTCCCACACTTGAAAGGGAATATCTCCATGAGCAAGGGAACATAAAAAGAAGTTCTTAATATATTCTTTATACCTTATACTAATTTATAATCAACACAAATGTCATAGAGCCAAAAAGATAGATCACTAAGTCAATTTTTAAAAATAAATCAAAACATATAAAAAAGTGCTTTTTTTCATGAATCACTGTTTCAATAATACAGAAACCATAACAATCAACAACAGAACTTAAAGGAAATTTACTTTCTTTTAATAACACAGAAACTATCAGAACCAGAAAAGGAACCTAGAAAAGATTAACTCTCTTTCAATAACAGAAAATAACCTATAAGTACATTTGCACTAATATAGAAACCATAACAATCAAGAAGTAAATTGAAAAAAGATTTATTTACTCTGTTTCTCAATAATACAGAGAAGTAAAACATAGGTTGTGTATATGTTTCTGAATATCTGTCCAAAGCTATTCAAGGGCTATCTGCACATCCTTAAATTTAACCTGAAAGACAAGAGGGAAGGCAGCTAGGCAACAGCACCCACTGCCAATTTTCAGGCTACTCTTGTCTTACTGAATAGTGGGATTTGACTGTCACCCTTATTATGCACTCATGGCCCTAAAATTCAAAGCTCAATTTTTCTGGGGGCAGTATAAACACACATATCCACAGTTCAGCACACTAACCACTGGGCCATGTTCAGCCCCCTAGAATATGTAAATGAATCTAGAAAATACTATTTTTTTCTCAATAATACAGAAATCAAGACACCACCAAATAATTCAAAAAAATGTCTAATGCTTTGAAAACTAGTTTACATAACAAAACTATTATCTAAAATCATATATTATTCATGCCTACCAACAATATAGATGTTTAAAGATCCAAACAATACAGAAACTATACCAACTACAGTACTTTCCAACTAAATGTTTATGTCTTGAACCAGTAAAGTAACCATAACAATAATTAAGAGATCATGAAAATTTTTATCATATCTTTCAATACTGGCTCCATGATAACCAGCAATACAGTCCTAATAAACATCAATCAAATGTTACATGAAAAGGGGAAAAAACGTCGATTAACCCTTCTGTGTTAGGCTTTATTTGGAAATGAGCTAAGAAAAAGTCAGATTTTATATTTTGTTTTTTGATATCCCATACTTATAAATTAATAAAACAAATGTTCTTTTGTGATCTGTTATTATGTTCCTGCATTAAATATACTCAATAATCAAATGTTACACTTCTGAATTTATACATGATATATATATATTATTTCAATGAAACTATAGTAAAGAACTGGAATCCTTTTCTCCAGTGTTTATAATACATAATTCAGAATAAATTGGATAGATAATAAAAAAAGCATTTCCAGTGCCATCTAGTGAGCACTGGTTGTAATACATGATAACTATGCAATCAAATTTGGGCAAATAATTAAATATACAGCAAAAAATGGTTTGCCCAAATTAGTTCAGACAAATATTTTTTTTAAACATGGAGGGTTGCAGAAGGGGTTAAGTCATAATTTACATGTAAGTTTAAAATTACAAAATTAAAATTATTTACTTACAAGGGTAATTCCTTTGACCTGTCCTCTAGTGATTCAAGAAAAGAATGATTTCCATAAGGAACCAGTCTATACCTAAAATATTTTAGACAAAACTTTTCAATGGCAAAAATACTTTACACAATATTCGTACCTCACAGTTTCAAAAATTATTTTAACTTGTTCATAATACATTAGGTAAATAAAAAGATGCACTTTTTTTTTGAGAGAGGCAAGATATCGTATTGGAAGTTAACATTTTCCTAAACTCCAAATGTACTTCCGATAGATACTTACCTCTTCTCACATTTCCCACCCCTCCTCCTCACTTCCAGTGCAGTTTAGTGTGATCTGACCAATCTTGAAGGTGTTATAAGCTGCAAGATTAGAAATGGTGCTAACTGCGATAGGGGTAGTGTCACACTCCTATTGGTGGAGGGTTTCTGCATAATCATTTGCATGTTAGTACGCAAAAGTATCAAGGCTAGTGGCAAGCGAACATTTTCACTGATAGAGGGCAGTATAATTCAAGAAAGTTTTTGTGAGAGGAGGTAAGATATTGTATCGGAAATTTTAGTTTTAATGCTTTAGATGAGTTTTATTGTAGCATTTATGCCAGCAAGGTGATCTAACACATGATTTCATTAGGCTTACTATAGTATATCTATGAAACTAGATATTAGATCAGTGGTTACATGTTTCATGCATAATGGCAGAATAAATAGCTATGTTATGTAGTGGTTTTTATTGTATTATAAATCATAAATTGACCAAAACATAAAACTAGTATTTTAAAACATACCATAATTATCATGCACAGTGTTTGAAGTGTCAGTGTTTCAGATAAGGTGACTTATGTGTTATCAATTGTTTTATTAATGCAAGATCAGAGATGCCATTATACCCAATACATGATCTTAAACCTTTGAAATGTTAAGTTCATTTTCTTAGCTAACGAATGCAATAACAAAACTGTCTGGCCCCATGCTGCATTGATCTCTGTCCAGTCCACCTAAGAAGAAACAAGGAAACAGATTTTTAGTCTAAATCTGAGTTGTAAGTTTGTTTATGTCATTTTAAAATTGTTATACTTTAAAATAACAAAATATAGTAAGTTCACTAAATATTAACAATGAAGTCCAAGAAAATATGCGTAAGTGTGATGAAAATTAATTTGAGCCATAAAAATAACCAGCTTCACAGGTGAACAAAAAAACTAACGTAAATTAAAAATAAGCCTTTTTTAAATTAAATTCATTTAACGAAAGTAATAGAGGTGAACAAGTACATATGGTTGATGAATGGACATGTATTCTCTACTTCAACAATAGTGAATAGTTTAGTTAAATCTTTTTTTTTTTTAAGAAACATTCTCTAGTTTACAATAGGGAAATTTTTGCAGATTGCTACAGGATGATTTGATACCAAAACAAACACTGTTTAGCTATTCACAAATTTACATCTCCACATTGAAGCCTTTGAATATTTAGGGTGTATCATCAGATGAAATTCCACAGATACAAAAAAAGCACTTCCTACTAGGATTTGAGGAATCATAAGTGGTAATTCATGGATAGACTAAACACACAGTGTAGTGATTTATCATGGTGAAATATAAGAGTTGCAGTCAGATTAAAAATAAAACACTTTTCTTTTCCGAAGATAAGAAATGATAGTTGCAGTATTAGAACTTAAGTGGTAGAACTATTGTGCTGTAATGGAAAAGTGACATGTAGAAATGGTTGAAAGACTTAAACTGTTGACAGTGAAAAATAAATGTACGATCAGTAGCAACAATGATTATGACAGTTACAACACTTTGTCAGGAAATCTTGGCTCTCTCAGGCCACGAACAAATCTGTTTGAAAATGCCAGAGGTGCATTCAAAAATTCACATTCTCTTTATTGCTGACCAATCAGAAAATTGTGACACAAAAGTCCAGAAATATTCCTATTTTGTGACATTCAAAGCAATTCTCTATAAAAAATGTAAAGCATAATAAAATACAATCATCCATGGAGACGGTAGTTAGCTTCTGTGATCAGACATTCAATGCACTAACCAGAGAACTGAAGCATCAAAATTCCACACACTTTTAGAACAGACAGTAAAAAAATTAACACACACCAAAGCACAAAGCCAAAACCTGGCACACTTAATTTGACACACTTCCACAATACAGAGTTAAACCTTAACTTTAACATTCAGAGAACTAGGAAATTACAATATAATATACTTACTGGAGCACTGGGGAGTCGGCCTAGTCGGAAATTATTAATAGTTCCAAAGTGTCCACTGTGCCTGGAGATACAGAAATATCATTAACTTAGAATAAGAAATTAAGTCTTTATAAACAGTGATTCAAACCTACAAATATAATGGCATTACTAAGTTTAAGAAAAAATATGGATTTAAAGTGACATTTAATAATATACATCCAACTCATTTTGATAATATTAGATGTAAAGAAATTACAAAAACTGTACTCACCATATATGAAATGTGGCATTGAAAACATTGGTTTTCTTCAGCTTATCCAGTTGTGTCTGTGCATACTTCAGCTGATTGTCAACACTACAAATAGCAAACCCAAAAATCAATTGTAAACTATTTTGTGTAAGTCTGTTTTTTGTTTTATTGTTAAAACTAATACTTCAAAACATACATTTACATAAAATTCTGATGATTTGAACTCTTAACACTTTGAGGAAAACATGAAAGTAATTTGTTATATATATACATTCAGATTACTAGAACAAAAAGTCAAAATTCAATTTATTTTTTTATTCTGGAAAAATTGAAAAGTAAAAAACATATGGTTTCCAAATGAATCATAATAATTTAACTATTATTGTTGTAAAATTTAGTTTCTTAAAAGTAACACAACTACTAAATGCCATTGCTTGTGATTAATTTTAAACAAGTGATACAAAATATGTTTAAAATGTTGTAAAAAAAAAGAAAAGGGTTAAGCTTCAACTAAATGATAATGACCTTTGACCAAAACCTTGACCAGTTACTTTCTCACCATTGCAATTTTAATCATTTTGTTTTGTATTTTCAATTTCTTCAACTTTCTAGTTAGAATGGTACTATTAACTTATTTTCAGTTTCTTCAACTTTCTAGTTAGAATGGTACTATTAACTTATTTTCAGTTTCTTCAACTTTCTAGTTAGAATGGTACTATTAACTTATTTTCAGTTTCTTCAACTTTCTAGTTAGAATGGTACTATTAACTTATTTTCTTTGATATTTCTTCCATTAGGTAGGATTTACTGATTATCATACTCACTGGTTTCTATTTTGAAAGGTTCTATCAATCTATACTCTTTATCACCTCTTTAAAAATGTCTACTATTAAACTATGACCTTCCTTGCCTTTTCTTGTTATTATGGTTTTATAAACTTAGACTCTTCTCCCTCACCTGTCCTGGTTTTAAAAGATCTACAAATTTATTATCTTTGTTGCCTTTCAATAATAAATCAAGCACATAGTTAGCTGATCTTAGTAACAACAGATAATCTGAAAGCATAGCATGCAGAAGAACAGGTGTGGTAATTTGTTATAGGTGAAATTAAATAGAAAAAACATGGTGTTGAATTGGCAATATAAAATAAGAAATAAGATGGATAAGACTATTGTATTGTAATGGAAAATTGAAATGTAGAAATAAACGATTGGTTTGGTTTGTTACAAATTTCGCGCAAAGCTACACGAGGGCTATCTGCACTAGCCATCCATAATTTAGCAGTGTAAGACTAGAGGGAAGGTAGCTAGTCATCACCACCCACTGCCAACTCTTGGGCTACTCTTTTACCAATGAATAGTGGGATTGACCATGACATTATAATGCCCCCATGGCTGAAAGGGCGAGCATGTTTGCTGTGACTGGGTTTGTGACTGGGTTACGAACCCATGATCCTCTGCTTACGAATCGAGCGCCCTAACCAGTTGGCCATGCCGGCCCAGAAATAAATGAAAGAATTAAAGAATACATATAACAAGAAAAAAATGTATCACACAAATGAGAATTCACCAGCAAGTCATGACTCTCCCAAGTCAGAAATAAATATATTTAAAAATGAAAAACTGCATTCACAATTCACTTTCTCTTTTCTTAGCTGACCATTCAGAAAGATCATAAGCGTATGAAAATATCTTTTGTCCACGTGACAGTCATAAGTCAATCCTCTACAAGGTAGAATAGGATCGGGTCAAATATTCCATGAAACAGTACATGATCAGACCCTGCTACAAAAAGTAATACCTTAGGCTGAATTTAGCACATGACCTTGACCAGATTTTCAAATCTAGTGATATGAAGTCATGAAGTAACGGCATGTTTTCAGAACTATGTTTTGATATTGCTTGGCATTCATATAGGTTATGTGATGCTACTGAAAATTGGGAAGGGTATACTTTGAGAGTCATGGAGCTCTTCCCACTCAGATCATAAGGAATTTCAAATGCAGAATTTAAAATCTCCAAGATGAAGATATCCCTTGTATTTAATGCATTGAATAACAAAGAACAAAGGAATATGGATCAACTTGGAGCACCAGGACCATCCAGAAAGACTTGCAACAAGTCGTATCCCAGTTGTGGTAAGGAAAGGCAAAAATCCATAAACACAACTGTCAATGGGAAAAGCTATCCACATGCCCACAACATAATCAAAAAGGATCTCCTTCTGGAAAATGGCACAAGTGATTTACACACGAGTTGCTTTCATGACATATCCATTCAACCATTGTATACATCAATAAGCTGGAGAATGAAATGGGTATTTTTATTATTCCATAAGAAGACATACATGTCAAATCATTGAATGCTGTACCTATGAAATTCTGTGTGTGTTCAGACTGTTGAAATTGGTACTGGGAAACCACTGTCCTTGTACACTAAATGGATTACGGAACATAAGCAGGATGGAGCTGTGTATTTTCAACAGGACATTCTTACACACAGCCTTTTGAAATGGAAACTACACTGCAAAGCTATTGTAAAAACTCACAGTCATCAGATGAGCATTACCAGATTTGGTGACATGGACTGTAACGATGTGGTTGAGGCTCCAAAGTCCTTTCAATATAATATATTCTTCTGTAGCACCATGTGCAGTTCAAAATCCTTTTTTATCTTAAAATCCTCTTGAAAACTCATAACAGGAGGTCTTTGTTTTCAAACATTGGTCTTTATGCAAGTTGTTATGTCAAAATATATTGTACATAATAATTATTAATTTCCATGCAAAAAGCTTAAATTAACAGTTTTAAATGCTTTTCAAGGAAATTAAGTAATCTACATTCAACCCTACGAGGAATTTTATACTACTTAGGAAGCAAGCTATACTATCTTTTTTTTCATATTTTCTAGTTAGTTGAGTTCCAAAAGTCAATGCTTTCATTTTTGGATTATATCAGTTTCTGTTTCATGTCATATTTTATGCTTACATGAGCTACCAATTTCAAGTAAATTTTTTCTCACCTTCTCTGATCATCTTCACAGAGTAAAAGCTGCCTTTTGAGATCACTATACTCATGCCAATATCTTTCCTCCTCAGCTTGAAGCTTCTCCTTTTCTTGTTGCTGGTGAATAAGGCTTTCTTGAACTTTAGCCTGCTCCTCAGTAACATGCTGAAGTTCTGTTCTTAGGTCTATTTCCTTTTTTTCTAGCTAGAGAGAAATATAATTTATATTTTGATAGAGGTACATACATGCTTCATTTATAACCCACTTCTTATATAAGAGAAATTACTCACTTTCTTGCAGTGTGGTTGCTATGACTACCTAATTATATCTTTCAAAGATTACATATACCAAATAGATGAGTGCTTGAAATGGCAAGATTGCGAACAATAACAATAAATATACAGACTGATGTAAATACTAATAAAAAAAACAATGTTTTTTCCTTTAAGGATCTTGTAGAGGGTCAATATCTTAAAGCTGAAACTAAAATTAATAGTTAATAATTTCATTATTTATGATAATTTCATAATATAAAAATCCCATTCAATCACTACTTGTAAAAAAATTGAAAACACTTTTAGGTAAATATAAAAATTTCTTCATTACCTCTTTTAATTCTTCTTCTAATTTTTCTAAATCTTCTTCATTTTCTTCACCTAAATTAAGTTGATCTACAAACTCCCTGGAATTACCATATATTTTTAAAAGATTTTCAGTACAATACACATGAAAATAAAAAACAAAGTAGGGTGCTAAAATATATAACAAAGGCTGAAAAAAAATGATATGGTGGTTTCTATTCTTTATAAAATTATTCAAGAAAATGTCCAAGAAAAAAAAAAGTTTTCTAACAAAATTTAGGCTGACTTGAGTAATCTGATATAACTCAACACCTAAAAGCAGACATTTTTATTTGCTGGTTGATTAGTTTTGACTTCATTATTCTGAAATTTAATAATGTAATCTATTTTATAAAAATATGTAGATTTTTTTTGCTGAAAATGCTGTCTATCATTCACATCTCATTTACTCTTATATACTGTACTGGCCTGATTATAAGGCAATGTTTTTTGATTAATAATTAGGCTGTAAAATTCATAGTTGCCTTATAATTGTGGCCAACCACAGGCCCCTTCCCCCTACTCTAGCCTGTCGCATTCCTGGATGTCCAAATACCATCCGTCTACGTATGGGCACCAGATGTTCACTCAAGGTCATCACTAATTCTTGCAACTAATCCACCTGCAGGCTGTTCAGTTATAGTACTGATTTTGCGGACCTAAAAAAGGACGTTAGGACACTACTTTTTTTTCTTTCTAATGGTTTCTGAAAATGGAGGTCGCCTTATATTCGAGATCGTCCTATAATCAGGCCAATATGGTACTTACCTATAATCTTTGCATTCATCCTCTGCTACTTTCAGTTGTTGATCCATCTGATCCAGCAAAGAGTCTGTGCATTCTTCACATAAAGGATGATCTACATCAGACTGATCTGACATAATGTCAAACAAGCGACTTGTTACCTGTATTACAAATAACAAAATCCCTTTACAAATACACATATTCCTCTGGTGAATTAATAATTCTGTATTACATAATAAATCTTCAACATTTAATTTTCTTTAGACAATTCTTATGTTCTAAACAATCTCACTCTTATACAAGATATGTATAAATGCACATTACTCAGAACATTCTTGTTTACAATAACACAAATATAATAAAGAATTAGAGAAAAAAAAAGGATAGTAATATAATATTAATATTTTAAGTAATTTATTATTTTGCTTGTATTAATTTTCACTGGAAACAAGTCTGCAGAATTACTGATTTAACTGTGGTGCAAACTCTGATTCAATTTATGGCCTATTGTTTAATTGTGTGGACAAAATAAGTCTAATATAGATTTTCAAACTGATAAAGTTTGACTAAAACTACAAATACACTTTAACTTGTTTGGCAGATGTGAACAAGTTGTAAGACACTGATTATTTGCTAACAAACTATACAGATTTCAATTTTGATTTAACAGGATGATTGTATTCTCAAATCACTATCTTATTACCCTGAGGTGATGGCCAAGACTCTCAGTTGTTCCAGCACTACTATCTCCAACCATCAAGAACCCATTTCCACTCTCAGTAAGCCTACAGAAATTAAACAACAGAGAGTTGAATTGACTTTAAATTCAATGCCAAGAAAAGAAATTCAGTTCCTTCTTATATAAAAAAATATAAAATTACAAAATCCATTAAATACATTCTCACATAATTGCACAGCCATAACAGTTTCTGTTGTTGTTGTTGTAAACTTGCAAAACATTTTTAATAATGAAATGTACATAGGTGACCTTAAAACTATAAAATACTTTCATTAGTCTAAACAAATTACATGCTTTTAATGTGTTTTTTTTATGAGCTCTTATTCACTTAGGAAGCTAAGTTTATATAACTGGAAAAGAAACAATTTACTATACAAGATAATGAAAAATGCAAGCTCCATCAGGATTTTTTAAAGTCCTGTAACCTCCTGTCATTATATGTGCTGTTCAAAATATACAATGTTGATATCATGACACATTGTCACAACAGGATCACCTCCACATGTTCTTTCAAGTTTAATTACATCCCAGCCAACTATCGTAACAAAAGCTACAGTTATACAGGATGTGTGTAAATGCTTATTACTCAGATAGAACACTCTTGTTTATAATAATACAAGCATAATAATGAGAAGTGGAGAAAAAAAGAACTTTTCTCACAAATTTCGCAATCAAACACTACAAATCTCATATTGTTAGGAAGGCCTTTGTCCGAGGTGTTTGGATTGCATATTGGCTTTTCCATTAAAAATTGCCTTATCTGTTTTTTGCTTAGGCAAATTTTTTAATGCAATGAGTATGGTAAATGATGTCACAATTTTGTTCTTATTATGTGACAACTGGGTTTGATTTCAACTTGATTTTTTATTTGCAAAGAATATCTCACAAATAACATTTAACACACATGTAATTTCCTAAAAAAAATTAACATGACACTAAATACAACTTCTGTTGACTTTCTTGACTTATTTAGGTCTAAAATACACATGCTCAGTTCGTTCAAAACCATATGCTTATCACTTTCTGAACACAAATTCAGACATTTCTGCATATTCAGCTAAGTCTGTCTTAATTACAACTTTACATTTACTTTACTTTGAAATAATTTAGCTTTGGTTCATTTCATAGACTTCTATAAACACATTTTAGCTACTTTTTTCTTTACTAGGGGCTATATTCTTCACTTTTGTGAGTTTCTTTGTTTCAACTCATAAAATCATGTCATACAATGAATGCTCATAACTGTTTCATACTCTGTACACTATTATAAATACCATTACTTTATTATTTATTCTATGTGTAACTTTATTAAATAAAGTTGTGTACATGTAGTTTCATTAAATAAAGTTATGTCTATGTGAGTTTGTTTGCCTGACTGCATAAAATTTTTTCCAATAGACCAGGATTTATCGACCCAACAAGAAAGTGCAGTTTAAATGGCATGCATGGAAATGATAGAATGAGGAAAATTCAAGCAATGAGCATGAAAACTACAGCTAATATTTTGTAGGTTGCAGCTAGTTTATTCTTCTTCTATAGTAGTAAACACAGATAGCATATTTAAGTAACAAAATTTTAAACACATGCTGCAAAATTATTTTGAAATTATACAAATTACTCCTTTTACAACAATTTAATCTTAATATTCTATATGAATAAAAGTTCCTTAAAAAATTAAAACTGGGTCTAAATATCAACATTATATGATGAGAAACTTGTTACTTGTGCATTTAAACTTTTAACATTGTACCAGAAAGTAAAGATTAATGAAGAACTCCAGTTTGATAGATAAAAACGGCAAACCTATCTCTAACTTCTTAAGTTATAAGAAATATCAAGTATCAGGTAACAAACCCAAAATTTCACATAACGTACTTTTGACAATTTTGGTGTTTAGTTCTAATACGTAAAAATTAGAAATGTACATTTATTATGCAACTTAGGATATTTTTTCACCTCCCTTAATCAACAAAAAAAGACCACTTCACTTTCATAACTTTACCTTTGGTTGTGTTCCTGCACAGTTTTTATCTTGAAGTCTACCCAAATTCTATAAATTTAGATTGCATCACAGTATTTACTCTTAAGATATCAAAGGAACTAAGTCTTACATATGCTGATTGAGATTATTACTGACAATTTTAATTGTTATTACTGAAAAAATATTAAACAGAAATTTTTTACACACTTACTCCTCATTTTGGTCACACTAACTTGAATATGTAAAAACTGATTAATTTTGCTATTAGCAATAAAAATCTTATTGCTATAGAGTATATTAATTTTTGACAAACTGAATACAAAAGTCTGTCTTCCTGGTGTTTGCTGAGGGATTTCTCAAAATGTGGGTAGTTTTTCATTTAATTTGTAAAATATCTTACTGAAGAATATATTATTTTTAGATCTTGTTCATAATGCTGAATGATTGCTGTTAGAAATGTTGCAGCAAAACTACTCAGGTACTAGCAATCATAATATTGTTATATTTTAACTTTATATTAAACCAAATTATACATTTAACAGGTATATCTCCTATCTTGGGAAATAATTATATTAAAGGATTTTAATGAATTATGGCAAATCACAAGTAAATTAACTATAATGGTAAAAACTGAGATAATTTGAAAAGTGACTTGATCAACTTAACTGATAAGAAATGTACTCCTTTTATTCCAACTGGAAACTTATGCCTGAATTAATGCACAAGGGAATAAAATTATTAATAAATGAAAAAATGTAAGATTACAAAAATAAATATTTTATAAAGGTTTACCCAAATAAAGAAAAATAAGTAAAAAAACCTGCTGTTAAGATAATGGGAGACTATGGAAATCTCTTACCTCAAAATCAATTTTGATTTTATGAGTTTTTATGCTTGCATTAAGTTACTAAGAAAAAAGATTCAGATCAACATTGCTTATGCAAGAAATAACAAATCACAAAATAGGCCAGAAACTCATCTTCCCATGTTCTTCGGCAGTTCATTTTAACTTTAAATGGACTAAAAAAAATTTGAGTGCCAATTCAGATGCCCTATAACTAATTCCTTGGAATATATACAAGGCGGATAACTATTCTTCTTGCGAGCCAGAAATGTTAAGTCATCTCAAATCACTGATGATATTTGGTTTGCAGAATGGCTACCTGCCAATTTATAAGAAACAGCTCTGAAGAATAAGGTACAAATTTACAGATTTTCCATGAAATGGTATCTGTAAAAATGAGCTGACAGATTTCATTTACTTCATACATAAGAAAGATACAGAGATATACTAATTATCAGATGTTATTTGAATGAACCTTTACATTTACAGAGTTCAGTTTCATTTGTAAAGTTCAAAAAATAAAAAACATGTCACAAAGCTCCATTTGAAGCAACCTTCAACATGGCCATTTGGCCATCTCTTTTTCCTTCTCAAAATTAAACAGGAAAAAGCTGAATATGTTTCTAGCACAATGAGAACACAACTAGCTGGGCAAGACTCTTAACATACATTATTCATATCAGATTAATAACATAAAACATATTCAGAAAACATATGTGAAACCATCAATCAATGAATTTTTTAAATAAACAGGATTTAACAACATACCTTACAGGAGCAATATACTTTCTTGAGATTTCATATTCTTCAGTTCCATTGCCCTAAAAATAAAACAGACAACTTATCTTGTACATATAAATTAATTTTTATACATATGGTAATACAAAATCATCAAAAAGAAATTTAATAGAAACCCTGAATGTGCTAAGCAAGAATTCATGTTTTTTTAGCAACTGAAATGTTATACAAAATTTGCTATAAACAAAAGTTGAAAAACACCTTATAATGTACATATAGACATATGAAAGACTTGTTTAATGATTTAATTATCATATGCATAAAAACCACACGTAAAATTTCATCACATTTTGAAATATACAAAAAAACATGGTATTTCAATTTCTTATTATGTTTTGTGTAAGCTGTGTTGGACAACAGATTTGCATTATGTTAATTCATTTGTTTCTGATAATTGTGTTATAACATGATGCTTCAGATATCATTAAACTTACCTTATGATCATTCTGCAAAAGGTGTACAGTACTACTTGAATTAGAATGGCTTAACATAGGAGCTATAAAATAGGATATACAAATATTTCAATCAATTACATTTATTCCATAGAATAATGTTATTTCGACTAGAAATTAGAATAGTAGAAAATGTAATAATAATGTATCTACACATAATTCAAAATTATTACAACAGAAACCTTCGCTTTTTCAGACTTTGATTGTTATTTATTTGATTGTTAAAACATTTGGATTATAAATATTTTACGTTTTCGAAATACATAAATATACATAATAAAACTGAATTTACTTCATGATTTAGATATTACGAAAAATTCACTTAATTTTGGTCTCAAACTAAGTCAAATGATTCCTGCGAGTTTTTCTAGCTTTGAAAGTTTAACTTTTAGCAACAACATATCCTGACAATAATATTTATATAAAAAGCCATTATACCAGATAGCTCTGAAAAGGTCTGATCATCTAGTGATCCAAATGATGAATCCAATTTAAGAGGTTGGCAACAACGTTGGCATACATAATTTACTCCAAATGTTCGGTCTACTTTATCAGATGATGCCATTTTGATTTTGACGGCCTCTGTTGGCATTGTATGTTGTAACTCAAAGTAACATATTTAAGAGAAAATCGTAAATGATTTTTATGTTTTAATATGAGTACTGTTTTTTTCATTTTACAGAACAGACTTTTAACAATAAAGTGTCATCTCCATAATCCTACCGGGAATAACTGTACGACCGTCCAAGATCAATTTCTGAATTTCTTTAATATGAATTCGATAATAAATTAATCTTTGTGTGTGTGTTGAGGAATATGTAAAGGTCTGCTTTTACGTAATTCAGCCATCGAACTTATAACAGACGTAAGAGATTACTTTTATGACATTAAAGTTTCCACAACAACAATTAGAAGCATGTATCTGATGGGCTTAAGTTATTTTTTTTTTTTTGTTGTTGTTGTTTGTTTGTTTGTTTATTGCACCATTTTGCTCCTACTAAAAATGATCACGATATAGCTTCGGACAAATGTGAAAGAACATGCAAATTTAAGGAAATCGAAAAGATCGAACGTATGGACCATACCTTAGGTGAATGTGATGTAGTCTTCTATGAAAATTATTTAAAGGCTTTAACTAAGGCTAGAGGCAAACAAAGTCTCCGTATAGAAAAGAGGCCAGAACTTAATCAATCAAGCTTATCAACAATAGGATTCTTTTAGAAAATTGTTCGTTTTTTTTTCGCCTTAACTAATATTTTATGACATTTTATTTTAACGTCGAGTATTGTACCCACGAATAGCTGTTTCAGATATTACATATAACAACAACAATTTGAAAATTTTATGTTATAACTTTTGCGGAGAATTGTCTTTAAATGCACGTGATGTTGTTCATTTGTGAGGTTTGTACATAGATATTGTTGCGTCAGCGAGTCACATGACTACTGTGACGCCACGTTTCTAGAACTATCCTGTACT